TATTTCAATACCTGCCTTATCAATACACATTTTTATGCAAACAGATTCAATCATCCCAACAGTAAATAGAGGCAATAAAACTACAACGAGCATAATGAGAGAGAGAAGGATTATTAATTTCCATTTAATTCCACTACCTTATTTGCTTATCCTTGACCGATTCGCGTATTTCGTCTACAATGTGCAGACTTCTTCAGTGTCTTGTACTAATACTCGACTAATACTAGTACAACTGATTCTTATGTCAAAAGAGCCGCTTACATGTGTCGGTCTCAGGGCACCGAAATTTACATGCCTTTTTCGTAGCGTGTAGGTAAAGAGCATTGTTCTCCTATCCTTTGATGCACCAATTTAGAATCGATTTTGGATAATTTTGAAAAAAAAAGTCGGCTTTTGGCCAGCTATATTGAAGAAATAACCCTTTGTGCGTCGCCATGGCACGCCTTCCTAATAGGTGGTAGCAGAAATGAGTGAATTCAAATAATTTGAACATGGATCCTATATTTATCTGTTTTTCACCGTTGGAAGGCGCCAAATGACCGTGACTGATATTATGGTGCCGAAAAATTGAACCCAATAGTGATATAGATGAAAGCATCCTGATGTAATGATGATTCATAAGGTAGGTATTAGATAGTGGTTACAGCAATAAAATAAAATTCGGTTTTGGAGAAAGAGTACCGTTTTTTTATCGATGGTCTCTTAGTATGTACCGTAAAACGGGGTATCTTTGATAATGCGGGTAGCTTTGATAGTATAATATACAGATTAAATTTACTCGTTGTACTTTTTCCAAATTAGAAACATTGGTTCTATATTGTAGCTTAGGGTATTTCCATTGATATCCTATGTAGTTTTTTTAAAGTATGTGTTACATATTTACAGACATATTAAAAACAATTTTCGTATTTTTTGTCTGGTTAGAAAAACACTCAAACTATCACTTATGAAATGTATTTCCGATATAGCCATCAAAAATTCAATGTTGTATTCTTATTGCTTATGATGTTTTCTGATTATATACTCATTCAAAGTTTCATATTTAAAGTACTCAATTGTTTGAGTTTCACGCATTTTTTTCTACATTCATCGAGCATTATCAAAGTAACCCCAAATCAAAAAACCGATGTTCGGTCAGAAAACTAAAAATATAGTGCAAATGCTTTAATTTCCGTTAAACATATTACTAACGAATTAACTCTTGGGTCGTCAATACTTGTTTTAAAAATATAAAATTTTAAAAACATTCATTGCTGTAAACAATATTTAGAATATACTTTAAAAAAAACTATCAATGCTACCTCGTTTTATGGTAATTATTTTGAGCATTTTGCACTTGAGTAGACCCCAGCGCTGAAAATAACCCCTCAAATTTATTTTTGCTAGGCTAAGAAAACATCACCAAAAATTTAATGATCTATAAACGCTAGTATGTCGGTATTATATCAAGACCAACAATTGAAAAGGCCTCAACTATATTTTGTAAATAAACCTTGTAAGGCCATTTTCTCGCGAACCGAAACCTACATTCTCAAACCTTAATCTCAATCGGGTAGAATATAATTTCCCTACCTGTTCATTTTGTTTGTTGGCGTTGGCGGACGTTGGTTCGCGACAAAATGGCCTTACAAGTTTTGTTTACAAATGAAATTAAGGCCTTTTGCATTGATGGTCTTGATATTCTACTGTAAATGGTGGCGCATATTCAAAATGATCAATATATATGTTTAATGATATGAGCGAACAAAAAATCTGAAGGATTATTTTCTGCACAGAAGTATACGCATTATCAGCATCACCTTTAATTTAATGCTTCAGATTCGAATCTGTTGCCTATAGCCAGGTTTGGGCGAAATAATTCAGCGATTAACTGACCACAAATTGAACGTTCAGAAAGATGGTTGATGTCCAACTTTTTCAAACCGCTTTCAAGTCATTTGTTTGACGACCTCCAAATCGAAGGTGAATTGAAATAGTTTACTTGAACCGTGTACATGGAAAATCATTTACATTCATTTCATACATTCATTTACATTCATTTGCCTCTACTTTTTTCATCAACAACATTCCGCAAAATGATGTATAGAGTTTGTGTAGGTTTTGTTATTAACTACAACTTTTGCTCATAACTCAAATCTGTATCTCTTATGCATCACGAACTAGAGTGGGCAGAACTTCTGTGGGCTTCTGTTCGCTTTGGTTCGTCATGCATCTGAGATACGGATTTGACTTGTTAACAAAAGTTGTAGCTATTAACAAAATCTACAAATGCTGTTGAAGAAAAAAGTTAGAGGCAAATGAATGTAAATGAATGCACGAAATGAATGCAAATGATTTTCCATGCCTGGTGTACGGTCGCCTTAAGTTTCGTGTTTTCGTAATGTATCAAATGGAGTTTCATTATTCGTGGGTGATAAGTAAGGTCCTAAGACTATTAATACTTTTGAATCATACTAAAAATAAACACACTCATTCGGCGGTGATACACTTGTATGACATATTATAAGCATTAGAGTGTTTCAAGTTTGTATGACGGATTTCACAACCTTCTGTTTTCCACTACTTCGGTTTGTATGAAGTTCCCCAACAAATGTGCCAGATTTGAACGAATTCAGTAGCGATTTGGATTTGTGGGAGGGTTTTAAAGTTAGCATGGGGAACAGAGAATACCGTAGCATTATTTGTAGCTGAATAGTGTAATTTGGCCAGGTATTTGGTGATAACTTAAGAATTTTAACTGCCATTTTCTAGAAGTTAACAAGTGGCCGACAAAATGTGAAATTTTGCTCGCTCAAAACTCAATATTCGGCCAAAGTATTCGACCGAATGCTATGGTGTCCAAGTATTTGGTCCCGGTACTGCTTTTATGAATCCCTCCAGGTTTTCCACTTGGGACAGGAATTCATCTGGGCCCCTACGTATTACAAAAGAAGCATTTATCCTTATTCCCGTGATTAAATATATTCTCCTTGAGGAAATGCAGCGTGGAGAAAATCTCCTTTTTCACGTTCATGTAAATATGCACCTCGTACATCTGTGAACATGTCAAGGCCCAACTTCGCAAGGAATTTCTCCGGGATTACATGCTTTACTGTCCCAAATTTCTTCAGCACCAACGTTAGATCATTATATGGTACCTCCAATGGTAAATCGCTCTCATAAGTGACATCCATACCTCAACTGCCTTTTCATTTGCATAAAAATGGAATATTAATTGCTCGTTGTTATACATCAGGGCATATAGCAAACTCGTTTCAGATTTAAACTTGATGAAGATCGCCTTCACCTTCGCAATCCGGTACGTTACATCGATGTCAATGGAATTCGCATCCAGTGGTTTCACGAAATTCGCGAAAAGGGCCTAACAAGTTATGCTAACAAAATTTGATAGGTCCCAAGGCCTGGACACGCCGCCATCTTTTCGTAGCCAGAATAAAAACGTGAACACATATCAATCAGAGCGGGCTCAGAACGTGGGCCCACGGCTATGCTCGCAACACCGTTTGAAAAATTCATGTAAATTTCTGCGAGATACAGCGTTGATGTGCGCTAGATTTGACATAAATTCACACGATATTTCGGGTAAATTTAATCGCAATATTGTTTATGCCAACTGTAGCTCAAAATTAAACGAGGGGAGATTTTACGCGATACTTAAAATTCAGATTTTTTTCTGTGTATGATTACTTGTTATTAGTAGATATAGGGGTGCCACTTCCTTGCTTGCCCTTTTTCTAATATTATGTGAGAACTCAGAGTACTTTTCTAGCTGTAAAAAAAAAATGGTAATACCGGCCACTCTTTGATTCAATGAAGTCTCGAAATATCAGTAATTTAAAAAAAAAAACCGGTACTTTGAGCATTCATGAAATTCCAGGATTTTTGGTGCTTCGATACTTTTTGATACTTCGGCTATTTCTGGAACTGTAAGAAGTCCCACAACTACAATTTTCAGGAAAAAAAAACATGCGAATCTTCTAAAAATCACGATACAATGAGAATTACAAGACTCTACCGTCCTCAGAATTAAGATAGTTGTGAGAAGTTCACTCGTGAAGTTTCTATTGATTGGAGACATCTCTTTTCAGGAGTAATGGAGGTCTCCAACAGTGGTGGCACGATAATTGAAAAAAATAAAATGATGAAAATTTTCCCTTTTTCCACGACCACAAGCATTGAACGAAATACAAGAACTCTCCGAATTCCAAGCATTATATAGAACATCATGGAACTCTGCCAATCTATGCGAGCTCTAGGAACCGCAATCAACGAAAGTTTGAGAACCGCTGGCCTATCATACCTACGCTGAGTAAATAAACGCTAAAAAAAGTAGATGTAAACAAATAAAGCACCACTAGTCGGTTGGAATCTGTGTTTGAAAGAGTCATGTCACAGCATCGAACTGTATCGCCTTATTAAGATCGCTAGTTTTTTTTCTTCATTTGATTTCAGAAGCCTAAAATGGACCGCAACTAACAATACAGGAAATGAAAAACGACGCAGTTAAATTGAACCTATCAAATTTGCATAAATCTTTTTCTGCAATCTACGGATTTGTTAGCAAAAACGTTCATAATATTAATAAATTTAAATCACAGTTTGGAGAGATGACTCAACGATTTACGCTGAGCGGAGGCTCAAATAATTTATCGGATTAGATACGTACTAGATTTAAATGAGGAGCATCACCACTACCGCTGTGTCAACGGTAATATGCATCACATTCCACAATTTGCTTCATCAACGGCACAGATTTAATTGCCTCAAGTTGCTCCGTCATGACACTAGCCGTTCTGGCTCGTGAAGATCGAACAGAATGTTGTGACCCCAATTCTTGCCGTGAAATATGAACCACATAACGATTATTTGGTGACTTTGCATCTGTTGCCTCACAGCGACACAAAGCACGATTTCATCGAATACGGCAAAAGGGTTACAAACTGAAAGGCTCACAGTCACATCTACTACGTCCTGGGTTCTATCGAATCATTGTGTCATACCTGAATGCCAACACCTCCACGCCACGCATGCGCCTAATGATGGAGACATCACTTAGTTCACTTCCCCTGTGGAATAGAGAAAAAAAAAGTAGAAAAAGGATATTAAATGCATGAAACATTACCACTGTCATCGCTATTAATAAAGGAACATAGAAGAGAGATATGCTGATTGTACATCATGACCTAGTAAAGCAGTGATTTCAGAAGATGTTTTTTTGAGGGATCGAAAATTGTTTTTACAGCTGAATATGCCTGTTTTTAAATTATTTTCAAAATAATTTTAAATTGAAAATACTACTTAAATGTTTACACACTCTATAGGGTAGGTGTACCAGTTATGGCCATACGTTCCTATTATGGCGTGTTCCAGTTATGGCCTATAGAATTCCCATAGGCCATAATTGGAACACACCATGATAGGAACGTATAGCCATGACTGGTACATTTACCCTAGAAGATTTTCTAAAATTTTCTATAATTTGATGTTTGCGACACAAACATCAAAGCGGCCAGGTTTACTGCGATGCATTTGCCGGAAAGATGATTCATGGAAATGATTCGAGTTCAAATAAGAATATGTAAACAACGCTGCATTTCTTGAATCCACAAGGGTGGAAGGATGCGTGGACATACCGTACCAAACGCTTCGAGCTATATGAATGTGATTACAATAAAATTTAATGTGTCATGGTATATATAATGTGAAACATAACAATGGAGTGCTCTCACCATATGTCTTATATGTTATCCATTATCCCATCCTGACGATTGCAAGCTGCAGGCTTTTAGACTCCACAATACAGGTAACAGAACGATCATGCTACGGGTTCTACTCCATAATATTACACAGAACATCATCTGAATATCCATCATGAACAAGGTGACCATTTCTTCCTTTAACACAGGAGAAAATACTAAACTTCCAACGGAACTGACATTGAAATTTATTTAAAAATTCACTTGGACGTATCCGTCGTTTGTAAATAAGATCCTACAGCCACGCACTTTTCTAAAAAATAAATCATTGAGTGGCAGAGCGCCCCGAGCGAAAAATATAAAAAACGCAGGCATCATCCAAATTTGCATTAAATTTGCAGCATACTCGGCGAACTACAGCGCACTGGCGCTATCATTCACTATTGCTTGGGTTTGTTGTCACCAGTTAAAACTATTAAAATACTTTTCGTTTCTAAAATTTTCTATAAAACGTTGAAAAACAGATAGATAAAAATTAAGGTAAAAACAAGCTCCTGTTAAATGTGAGTTACTAAGCTGCGCTATTTAATGAATTTTAATTTCAAGGTCTTGGTCATCGAAGCTCACAGCGAGGTAAACCTGCAGTAGCAGCAACAGCAAAAGCCCAAGTTCCTCGTTCAAGTTCAAAAATAGAAACCTGCCCGTGGGAGTGTTCTCACGGATGCAGAGTGCTGTAAGAATAATAACACACAAGGTTTGCTGCCGATGACGCCTTCCATAGGTGATGTACTCAGCTGATTCCAAATAAGTACATTCTACGTGTATTATTCATAAACCCCCGGGAGGAAATATGACAGTTTCAGAACGACTGCGGGTTTCAGACTTTAAAAAGACACTTGCCTACCACGTATAGGGTAGACCGCTACTTCGTCGTAATCACCCATACCCGTTCTATCGAGCAGAAAACATCGATAATATAAATGATTTATGTCGATGTGTTAGTTCATAGCCTACAACACAAAGCCTATCAGAGCACATAGTATTTTTTTTTAACTTTATTTGAGAGATTTTTAGCCATAGGCTAGTTCATCTCTGAGCACATAGTATGAATATTAACAACCACTGTTCTCGAAAACAAAAGAAGCGCTTCTAGCGAATTCATTTTTTTCTACCTTCACCCGTAAGACCAAGAAAGTCCAATGGTGTTTCAATGCGTTTGGACGGAATTGAATCTGTTTGAACGAATTTGTAGTCGGTATGTTAGATTTTTAACAATACCTCTACCACCTGTGACTTCTTATCAAATGCTCAAATCCAACGATACGAATGTTAAGATAAATCAATTTAGAAGCTATCAACAGTAGAATAATTCAGTTTGTTGTTCATATTTGTTAGAAAAGAGTGGTATGGTGCGGTTTGTGCTTTGTAGGACGGAAATTACATCGAAAACCCTACTGGCTTTGCTGCGCTGTTCATCAAAGCTTAATTCTTTGCTTCTTTGAATTCCACTCACTCGTTTGCGAAATTAAGATTCCTGATCATACCATCTGGGGCATGGGGTGTATCTAAAAATGGATGTTTATTGTCTTCGGAACACTTTTTTCAGACGAGTGATACACTGGAAGCAGGAGTTATTCATATAATCTACTTATTTTACTTTATGACTTCAGTGCCGTCCCATTTTTGGCAACACGTGTTTTTTTTTTGGTTTCTTCACTAGCTATAAAATTTATCGAACACATAGGGGAAATCCATCGCTAAAAATCTGCTGTTTATCAATTTTATCTAGATTAACGCGTCATTGGAACGGTACTAATGGATATTTTTGGTCGCTTTTGAAAATTTAGTCAATTGCTTATGTATGTATGGGCCCAAATTAGGGGAATTTAGGCCGACATTACATCCATTTCCCCATGTATATCAATTTATGACATTACTAGAGCGTTATTTAGGAATTGTGAAAAAAATAACTAAAGAGGTCGTGATGCCAACATCGGGAAGGTACTGTATGTTAGGGTGCTTCTTTAAAAAAAAAAAGTATAAGATTTCTTAGACTTAGAGTGTTAAACCAATCGCACGACGTGTAAATATTTACATCATTAACAAATCTCAGTCCGATTGCTATGCTTTCGTGCATTAGGAAATTGTTGGAGAAAATGATCCTTCGGAGACTCGATCACTGGGTCGAATCAAATAACTTGCTATCAAATACACAGTTTGGGTTCCGCAAGAGCAAAGGAACAAACGATTGTCTAGCGCTGCTTTCCACAGATATTCAACTGGCCTTTGCACACAAGGAGCAATTGGCTTCAGTATTCTTGGACATTAAGGGGGCTTTTGATTCAGTTTCCATTGAAATTCTGTCAGACAATCTGCACAGATGTGGACTTTCTGGAATTTTAAATAATTTCTTGTACAATTTGTTGTCAGAAAAGCAAATAAACTTTTCCCTTGGACAACTGACAACTTCCAGAATTAGCTACATGGGCCTGCCCCAAGGCTCATGTCTCAGCCCTCTTCTTTATAACTTTTACGTCAAAGATATCGACAGCTGTTTGGCAGAACAATGCACGCTAAGACAACTTGCAGATGACGGTGTGGTTTCCGTAAGAGGTCCACATGCCGTGGACTTGCAAAGACCATTGCAAAATTCCTTAGATAACTTGTCTTCTTGGGCTATGAATCTAGGGATCGGATTCTCGCCGCAGAAAACTGAACTGGTAGTGTTTACTCGAAAGCGGTACCCATCCCAAATGCAGCTTAATCTTTTGGGCAGAAACATTACCCAATCATTGTCTTTCAAGTACCTTGGGGTCTGGTTTGATTCAAAGTGCACTTGAAATGCCCATATTACGTATTTGAAGCAAAAATGTCAGCACAGGATCAACTTTCTCCGTTCAATTTGCGGCACATGGTGGGGTGCTCATCCGGGAGACCTCATAACGCTTTATAAAACAACTATTCTCTCTGTTCTAGAGTACGGCTCTTTCTGCTTTCTCTCGGCAAGAAAAAGTCACCTAATAAAATTGGAACGAATTCAATATCGTTGTCTGCGCATTGCTCTAGGCTGTATGCACTCAACGCATAACATGAGTCTCGAGGTTCTGGCAGGAGTAACACCCCTCCAGAACCGTTTCTGGGAGCTCTCTCTCAGAATACTAATCAAATGCGGAGTGACGAACACACTTATAATTGCTAATTTTGAAGAAATTCTTGGGCTGAACACACAATCTCGATTTATGAGAATCTACCACCACTACATATCGTCGGATATGTGTCTTCCTTGTTATACTCCAGACCGTGTTCACTTCACCAATCGCAGTTCCTCAATTGAATATGATCTGACCATGAAACAAGCAACTCATGGGATTCCCGATCAACTTCGACCTATTATTATCCCACGTATTTTTACTGAAAAGTACCAACAAGTCAATTGCATGAAAAGATATTTTACAGACGGGTCCCGTCTCAATGGATCCACTGGCTTCGGTGTCTTCAATGAAAACTCTAGCGCCTTCCGCAAACTTCAGGAACCTTGTTCCGTTTTTGTTGCTGAGCTGGCAGCAATCAACTTCGCATTGGGGATGATTTCCAACATGCCCGCAGACCATTACTTCATCTTCACGGATAGTCTCAGTTCGATTGAGACTATTTGGTCGATGAAACAAGGTAGGCACTCATCTTATTTCCTTTCAAAGGTAAGGGAGCAGATGTGTGTGCTGGTCGAAAGATCATATATGATTACCTTTGTATGGGTCCCCTCACTTTGCTCAATCCCAGGCAATGAGAAGGCGGACTCTCTCGCAAAGGTGGGCGCGCAGGAAGGCGAACTGTATGACAGGCAAATTTCACGCGATGGATTTTACCATTTAGTGCGTCAGAGCCCAGACAACCAGAATGCACGTATATTCAAAGTTGTTTTCGTGATATACAAACATATATACAAACAAACAATTCGTATATAATGCAAAGAAATGGCTTATACGTACAAAAGTGGAGGCCATATACGTGCATATTTTAATTTAATTTTAAACGAGTTGATTTAACATCATATACGATTTAATCTGTAATAATAAATTCATTTTGAAAAGTCTTACGATGTAATCCGATTTAATTTGTGATACAGTACGATGGAAAAATGAGTCATCGCATATTGGTCGGAAATTTGCATTCTATACGATTTAACTTAAACATAACGCGAGGTATGCCATTCTTATATGCGATTTTGACTAAAACTGTAACAATTTACGATACTGTCTGTACATTATTATACGACTTCTGGTTGTCTGGGAGTACCTTTTCGAGTTGGCAAACCGATTGGGACACTGGAAATCTTGGACGGTGGTTACATTCAATTATTCCTAATGTTT